CACACTTGCAGACAGCAGGTTTAAATGTGCTCAACCACACCCTTCTGAGGAGGAGCCGCAGAAGCCTGAAGGCATAAAGGTCCCACCATGCTTTGCAGAAAACCAAGATGGATGCCAGCTCATGGAGATGCACAAGCTCTGAAGAAGTTCGAAAGGTAGGACCTTGACAATCTGGTCTCCCCGGACCCTGCATTCACTATATCTGGTCTCCCCCGGACCCTGCATTCACTATATCTGGTCTCCCCGGACCCTGCATTCACTATATATCTGGTCTCCTCGGGACCCTGCATTCACTATATCTGGTCTCCTCTGACCCTGCATTCACTATATCTGGTCTCCCCGGACCCTGCATTCACTATATCCGGTCTCTCCGGACCCTGCATTCACTATATCTGGTCTCCCCGGACCCTGCATTCACTATATCTGGTCTCCTCGGACCCTGCATTCACTATATCTGGTCTCCCCAGGACCCTGCATTCACTATATCTGGTCTCCCCGGACCCTGCATTCACTATATCCGGTCTCTCCGGGACCCTGCATTCACTATATCTGGTCTCCCCGGACCCCGCATTCACTATATCCGATCTCCCCGGACCCTGCATTCACTATATCCGGTCTCCCCGAACCCTGCATTCACTAGCATAATCCAGTCTCCCCGGACCCTGCATTCACTATATCCGGTCTCCCGAACCCTGCATTCACTATATCCGGTCTCCCCGGACCCTGCATTCACTATATCCGATCTCCCTGAACCCTGCATTCACTATATCCGGTCTCCCTGAACCCTGCATTCACTATATCCGGTCTCCCCGGACCCTGCATTCACTATATCCGGTCTCCCCGGACCCTGCATTCACTATATCCGGTCTCCCCGGACCCTGCATTCACTATATCCGGTCTCCCCGGACCCTGCATTCACTATATCCGGTCTCCCCGGACCCTGCATTCACTATATCCGGTCTCCCCGGAACCTGCATTCACTCCCGGACCCTGTGTGGCGGTACTACCCACAGTAGTAAGTGGCAAGTGTGTCCTATTACTCATGGGTGGAGCACATATTGTGGGCCAGAAGACTTCAAGCACAGTACGGTGATGAGACGCTCATATGCAGTAAGACATTTGAATGGTGTAAAACGTTTCAAAGATGGCCGTATGTCCATCAATGACTATCCCGGCCATGTTGGTTCCCAGCCCACAGCAGTCATTCCTGTGAACATTCAGCACGCGGATTTCCCGATCCTGAATAATCAACGAATAACCTGTTGTGCAATTGCACAAAGAGACAAACCTTTCTGTGGGAACGGTAAACACAATCATTCACAAATGTCCTAGGATGGTTCGGGTGTACTGACAAATCTTTTTATGCCGAAGCTTTCTAGGCATTGGGTAAACGCTGGGATAAGTGTAGAAATGTAGTAGGGGAGTATGTAAAAAAAATAAATGCAGTTTCCACTCCTTTGTTCTTTTATTATATAAACTCAAAAGTCACGGTTTGAATTGAACGCCCCTCGTATGTTGACCACCACTGCTCTCCAACAGTCCTTTTATTTAAGTCTTACATATAGATCTATATGCATTAATTTTTTAACCATCAAAAGTGCTCTCCAAATGCTCCTCTTGGTAAGTCTGCATGAATAAATCCATGACATGTCACAATATACAGCTACAGTATACATATTTTTTAAATGTTCCACATTTTATTTATTACTACAGGTACTTATATAGTGCCATCAGTTTATGCAGCACTTTACATGTGTGTGTGTATATATATATATACTGGATAGATAGACAGACAGATAGATAAGACAGACAGACAGACAGACAGACAGACAGACAGACAGACAGATATTGAGATAGATAGATATTGATAGATAGATTGAGATATAGATAGATAGATAGATAGATAGATAGATAGATTAGATAGATAGATAGATAGATAGATAGATAGATAGATAGATATAGATAGATAGATAGATAGATAGATAGATAGATAGATAGATAGATATTGAAGATAGATATTGAGATAGATATTGAGATAGATAGATTGAGATAGATATTGAGATAGATATTTATTGAGATAGATAGATATATATATTGAGATAGATATTGATAGATAGATAGATAGATAGATAGATAGATAGATAGATATGAGATAGATATTGAGATAGATATTGAGATAGATATTGAGATAGATATTGAGATAGATTGAGAGATAGATATTGAGATAGATATTGATGAGATAGATAGATAGATAGATAGATAGATATTGAGATAGATAGATTGAGATAGATAGATAGATAGATAGATAGATAGATTACATTCACATCAGGTTCTGTCTGGTGTATTGGAACCGTAAAGACTTCTTTCTGGCAACTCGACCATGCAGCTAATTTTTGTTCAATTATCTTCATATTGTACTCCTTGACACAACCACATTTCCTTTTTCCAGAGCAGCCTATATTTCTCCTTAGGTTACTTGTAGGGTTTTCTTTGGATCCTGAACAATTCTTCTGGCAGTTGTGGCTGCAACCTTTCTTGGTTTACCTGACCTTGGCTTGGTATCAAGAGATCCATGAATTTTCCACTTCTTAATAAGTGATTAAACAGTACTGATTGGCATATTCAAGGCTTTGGATATCTTTTTATATCCTTTTCCATCTTTATAAAATTCCATTACCTTGTGTATGCAGCAGGTCTTTTGACAGTTCTCTTTTCTGCTCTCCATGGCTCAGTATCTGACCTGCTCAGTGCATCCATGTGAGAGCGAACAAACTCACTGACTATTTTATACACTGACACTAATTGCAATTTAAAAAGCCACAGATGTGGAAATTAAACCTTATCGCCATTTTATCCTGTGTCTGTCACCTTGTGTGTCTGTACCAAGGCCAAATATTCCGGGGGATGGAAACTTTTGATCCCGGCCATTTGGGTGATCTCTGTTATCATTATGATTTAAAAAGGAGCCAAACAACTGTGTGATATAACACTGTTCAACAGGTAAAAAAGTTTTTGGGCATAAAATTAGCTAATCTTACATAATTTTGGGGTGCTGAAAACGAAAATGACCCTAAAAAAATGTTGATTGGCTCTAGTTTCCATGATATATTCACCCATCCAATGACGTAAGCCATTCAAAATTATGATGCAACTTCAGCTGCATATGCGCAATTGATACTGGTGACCAATAGAAAATTGCATGTATACTGAGATGATGCAATATTAGCCTTTAAATTGCATCACTTCACTGCATAAAAGCTGCAGTATCTGTAGCTGATTGTAGTTCGACAGCGTCTTTACATTTCGTTTTATGCTTATATAGGCTACTCAGTAATGCCTCGAACTTGTGTGAATAAAGCAGATAATTTCTGCTATATCTGCGGTGAAAAAACTTTTATCTCACAAAAAAGGAGGATAACAGGAATGATTAAGAAAGCCTACAACTTGTATTTTGGCTGCAAGATAGGAGACCAGGACAAGAGCTGGGCACCACATATATGCTGCAATTCTTGTGGGACGGCACTGGAGCAATGGTTGAATGGAAAAAAGGCATCTATGCCTTTCGCTGTGCCAATGATTTGGAGAGAGCCAACAGATCATGTTAGTAATTGTTACTTTTGTATGGTGCCCCAATTGTAAAAGGGCTAAATAAGAAGAAAAAGTTATCTGTGCACTATCCAAATATTCCATCGGCAATACGTCCAGTTCCTCATGGAGAGGGGCTACCAATTCCTAAAGCACAGAATCCTTTGTGGTTGAGTCAAGTGAGGAAGAACCTGAAAGCGTGTAGTCACGTGCAGTTGTAAGAGATAGCCCTTTCCTCGAATACAAGAGAAAAGCCAAGAAGCAAAACCGACACAAACTGAAGACAAAACTAGTGAGAATCCTAAGTATTAAAATGATTCAAACTTAGCTTATGGCTATAATTTTTCTTGGTAATTCCTATGCAATAATATTATGCCATTTAGGCTTTGTTAATGTTGTCAATTATCACTTGCTTGATATTTGTGGAACAGGACATCTATCTACAGTCCATGGCCGAAATTGTAATGGCGCACCTTGATATTTTTCCTGAAAATCAAGTATTTCACACAAAAAAGGATTGCATTAAACACATGTTTTGCTATACACATGTTTAAGTTCCTTTGTATGTATTGGAAAAATATAAAACAGAGGCAGAAAAGCAAATATGACATTATGTCACACAAAAACCCCAAAAATGGGCTGGACAAAAATGTAATTGGCACCCTTAAAATTATTATTTGGTTGCACACCCTTTTGGTAAAACATAACTGAAAATCAGTCGCTTCCTATAACCATCAATAAGCTTCTGACACCGATCTCACCCGGAATTTTGGACAACTCTTCCTTTGCAAACAGCTTAAGGATCTCTCTTATTGGGAGACGACACCTTTTTCCCAACAGCAATTTTAAGATCTCTCCACAGAAAACAACCTTCAATGGGATTTAGATCTGGGCTCATTGCTGGCCACTTCAGGGATATCTCCAGCGCTTCTTTGCCATCCATTTCTGAGTGCTTTTTGACGTATGTTTGGGGTCATTGTCACTGCTGGAAGACCCAGGATCCTACAACACGCAAACCCTGCTTTCTGACACTGGGCCCTACAGTGCGACCCAAAATCCCTTTGGTAATCACTCACCGATTTCATGATGCATTTGCACACAGTCAAGGCACCCAGTGGCCAGAGGCAGCAAAACAACCCACAAAACAATCATTGAACCTCCACCATATTTTTACCGTAGGTACTGTGTTTTGTCACTGTAGGCCTCATTCCCGTTTTCGGTGGTAAACAGTAGAATGATGTGCTTTACCGAAAAGCTCTATCTTGGTCTCATCTGTCCACAAGACGTTTTTTCCCAGAAGGCTTTTGGCTTACTCAAGTACATTTTGGCAAACTGTAGTCTTGCTTGCTTTTTTATGTTCTCTGTGTCAGCAGTGGGGTCCTCCTGGGTCTCCTGCCATAGCGTTTCATTTCATTTAAATGTCGACGGATAGTTCGCGCTGACACTGATAGCTCCCTGAGTTCGGCTGCAGGACAGCTTTGAATGTCTTTGGAACATGTTTGGGGATGCTTATCCACCATTGCCGGTCCTCGTATTCTGCGTTGCAAATCTTTTTGTATCAATTTTTCCTCATCGTCACAAACCAGGGAGATTAGCTTACAGTGCCATGGGTTGCAAACTTCTTGATAATGTTGCGCACTGTGGACAAAGCTGCAAATCTAGTTCTCTGGAGATGGACTTTGTAACCTTGAGATTGTTGATATTTTGCCACAAATTTGGTTCTCAGGTCCTCAGACAGTTCTCGTCTCCTCTTTCTGTTGTCCTCCTTAGTGTGGCACAGACGAGACACACAATGCAAAGAGTTAATCTGTGAACGTTCACTCTCCTTTTTATCTGCTTTCAGGTGTGATTTCTATATTGCCACACACCAATTACTGCCCCAGTGGTTAGAACTTTACAGGAGCATCACATGCTTGTAACATTCTTATTTATCCGCAGTTGTGAAAGGGTAGCCAATACTTTTGTCCACAGCCCATTTTCTTTGGAGGTTTGTTGAGTGACATTAAGTCGAATTATTGCTTTCTTACTCCTCCCTTTTTTTGTTTTGTCCCAACTTCACACAAAGCGGAATTAAACATGTGTATAGCCAAACATGTGTTAATGCAAAAACGTTTTCGTGAGCAATTACCATTTACCTCCACCCTTTCATGTAGATACAATAACACGGTGCTTAAACAATTACGAAAGCCTATCTATCGCCGCATATAATTCATTGTGCATTATGTAGTGGATTACGCCCTAAAGTAGAAAACTTTCCCGTTTACAGAAAAACAGAGAGCCAAACGTCACCCCCAACGAAAACATTGTTATACCCCCCAACCATACAGAACACCCGCAATTCATTAATCAAATGGACACCACCAACCTAAAAACTCAACACCCAC